TTTACACATCTTATATTGTTTTGTTGTTCGAATAAACTGAACTGAACTGTAAACTGAACTGAACTTTCTTTTGGGGAATATATAAAATTTAAGCTTTAATGGGTATTTAATCGATCTGTCGTAGGCTTATTTTATTTTGACAAACTGGAACATCTCAACCTTCTTTTTCCCATTTGCTGCGATTGGAATTGCGGATCTTGACCTGGCCGATGTTCTGTCAGATGAGCATACCCCATCAGACCAGCGTACCCATAGTCAATACGCATGCGCACGACATCAGATCTGCGTTTATCCCTTTAGTTTTGTATGAAAAAAAAGACTTTAAACTTTAACGAGCGTGTATCCCTTTAGTCAAGTACATAAAAAACAATTTGAGGTCAGATCATCATACGCTTAAAAAAAAAAAAACACTAAAAAGTAAGTAATTGAATATTTTTTTGTGCATTTCTAAAGGGATACACGCTCATTGAGGTGGTTTAAAGTTAATTTTTGATACAAAATGAAAGGGATAAACGGGTATTGACTGTATGTGAGAAGGCGTCCGTGGACGGTGACGTGCAGAGGAGCAGAGGTGGATGTAGAGCAGTTGTCATCCCAGATTCCACATCCTCCGTCACCGCCCCACTCACGTTTATGGTGCGGAGTGCTTGTCTGTCATGTTAACCAATGAGAACGGATCCACATTCATCGCTACTCCTCTACACGTCACCTGGCTGCTCCACAGGAAGTACGCGAGCGGAGACGGAGGATGTGGAATCCGCTCTCTCTCCCTTCGAACCTTCTGATCGATCCACCGTCACAGAGAGCGCGTCCTGACGCGATGCGCACGTCTCCCGTCTTTGTAGGCCGCCGCTGACCTCTCCAGCCTGCCATGTGGTATTTTTGTTCGTTAACCTTTGTTTTTTTCTGATTTTTTGTAACTTTGACCTGGTGGGACCGGTTGTCCTGTTTTCGTTCTTTTTTAATATATTTTTATTAGAGTTTTCCCGTTAGTTCGTTACTAGCAGAGGCTTCGACGGCCCTGTATAGCGTTGGCCCTCTGCTGTAACGTTTTGTTGCTTTGGATCGTTTCACAAGGTCCAACTTTCTGTTCATACTTTGTTTTTGTTTTTCACTAAAGAGTTTTTTTTGGGACACGGGAAACTGGGGAAAAATCTGACTCTCTGTTCTTTTTTTGTCTCTTTGCAGAAAAAACAAAACAACTGATCTAAAAAGAAGTTCCAGAGATTAAGAATAAAATAATTCTTTTGAAACTCATGTTTGTCTCAAATATGTTGTGGCCTGGGTGGTCGTAACAGGGTGAGGATTTAAAGTCTGTCAGGAAGCCTTCCTGCTGCCTGTTTCCTCCTTCAGCTCAAACATTCAGCCTAGAATCTACTTAATGGAATCATAAAACTATCTGTATGGATTAAGTAGCTGTAGCATCAGGCAGTGGATATATGTAAATGTGTTTTAATCAGGTTTAAAACAATAAAGCACTTTATCAGGGTTCCTACAGCATACGGCGAGTTAAATCCAAGACTTAAGACTTTTTAATGTCACTTGAAATAAAAATTT